TTAATCTAAATAATTACCACAATTTATTCAGCCCTGCCTTCTTTGAAATATGTTCTTTTTCTAATACGCCACTGCTAAGACCATTTCCGTTGGAAGCATTTCTGGTATTTTTTTAGCACTCGCATAAGTTTGTCCGTGAATTTTTCTTGATGTTTTCGATTATGTCGAGACTTTGAATTCATAAATGTTTTAAAGAAAAATTCTAAAACTTTTTGAACAGACCTTGAAAATTGTACGTTTCATATTTTATTGTAAGAAATGGAAAGAACTTACAGATAATTTATCTTGCTATTTAAAAAAATTGACTTGCAATTTACGCCTTTGTCATTTTTTTTTCAAACTAACTACCCATATAACACACAAATGTTGACTCACCATCTCAAAAACGTTCCATTACAACATTGCAATTTTGCTAGAATGGTATAAAATATAGTATTAACGTTGAAAATATATTATAAAAACGTCTAATGTCCGCTGAATTGTAATGTTTTATAAACGTTACAATTCAATATTTAGAAAACATTGTTAAATTATATTGAGTTAACAGTGGTCGCGTTTAGCAGAATGATTTTTTACAACTGTTGGAAGTTTTCAGTGCTGAAATTGGATTATTCCTTTATTGCAATAATCCAATCTTAGCTCAGAAAATTCCAAACCGTTGCAAAAATATTAATATTTATACATTTTTAAGTATCTGTTAGAATATCAATAAATAGTAATTTGTTATATATTGTTTTAACGTTTAACGCAGTAACATAAAGAAGAATAAATGTACAAAAATTAACCTAGATTCAACATTGTTTTAACTTTCTAGGCTGTATGGGCTACCACTTGCCATAATTAACACAATTAATATAAGTAACTGTGTCCTTACATATTTGAGTCTTTTTGTGTTAAATTATTATATATTTAATACATTCACACCATTGCAGTGTCGGACAAATTTATTTTATGAATAACAGATAAAAAATAACGAAAAACGTATTCGCAAATCGTAATTTTTTATTTGAGAATATAACGATTAAAAAGAAACTAATTGATCATGAAAAATAACGTACGAATTACCAGAAAATATAGGTTTATTTCTTATTCCTATATTGGGCTGCACTTAGGCTGCGTTCGGGAAGACGCTATTAGCGCTGAAAGCATCAGTTTATCTTCGTCATTTACTAAATGTCGAACAAAGATAGAAGACGCTTTTAGCGCTAAAAGTGCGCTCTCCGAACGCCCCTTAAAAGTAAATTATAATTGGTCTAGTGCAAGCGAGGACAAAAAGTTCAAGCAGGCATACAGAAAGTTAGAGAACAGTGTAATATTAATATAATAAGTTTATAAAATCTTTGGACTATACAATGACGGAGTATGCTGATTATTTGCGATGTGCACAGGTGGTTGCGAAAATTGTTTATAAAAAGTAGTACAAGTAATTTGGAGGAATCTGATATCTATCGTCCAATAAAGGCTGATGAGTCTGAAAAACTGACCGATCATCTCGAAAAGTGAGTATCGCCTACGTTCAAGACAAATAGACAGACGTTAAAGTACGAACGTATTATATATTATATAATAATGACACTTGTAACAGTTCTACTGTGCACAGGATAGTAATTGAATCTGAATAATTATTTTAAAAATACAAGTGCACACACAATTTATAATATGTACAATACACTTCTGACATTTGTTCTATTTTGCGAAGGCAACATTTTTTATAGCATTTTAAGCGTAACACGGAAAAAAGTAAAGTTAGGAAATTTTAGTAATAAATCAGCTAATGCACCTACATACGTCGTAAATATTATTTATGATTCGATTATTAAGTTACGATTTGTAACATATCTTACTAATAAGCGTTTTTTCTTCACATTTTTTAACTTTTTTATCCATTTCTATCAATGAAAATTAATTTTAATGTGTTGGTTTATTATAAATGGTTTAATATACTTTTTATCTTTTTCTTACTCTCATATCTACAATTTATAAATCAGTTAGTTACATATTGCCCATCCTTTCAAAATGAAGCTATTAGACCTTTCAGAACTGTTCGAACTCAAATTTCAATGAGTTGGCAGCCGATTTTTAAAATTTAAATTTCTGATCAGCGGAACCCCTTTTATAAACAATTAGGAACTCTTAAGCTCTAAAAAAACTCCAGTCAGAGTTACAAAATTTTAATGTTGGGGTGCAAAGTTAACACACGCCATATTTTTTCATCCATGCAGGTATTGGAGTCGCGAACTAGACAAACTAAAGAATCTGGACTGTACCATGAGTAAGAACGGGCAAGTGGTGTTACTAAAAAAGGATGTCCGTCCGAGATTGTACAAGGCGATTTACAAAGCATTCTGGTTGCCATATTTTTTAAACGGAATCTACTTATTCATCGAAGTATGTATATTGATAGTTTTGAGAAAAAATCATATATATTTAATAAAAAATACATATTATTAGTGGTATATGGTATTTTTTATATATACCTGAGAAGATCTTACCGTGTACGGATTAAAATGCAGTGTCGGACCCCCCACCCCGTATATATTGTCTAATTGATATCACCAAATATATTTGTGATAAAGAGAGACATTACAAAAATATTCTACTAATTGTAAGAGAACTGATAGAAAAAGTGTTTGCGTTGCCTGTTTTTCGTTATGACGAACTAACAGTAAAGGAGGAAGTAAAGAAAGAAATAATTAATTAATTCAGTTAGGTTTGGAATCTTCTCTCCGTCTCTCTCTCCCCTCCTCTCTCTCTCTCTCTCTCTCTCTCTCTCTCTCTCTCTCTCTCTCTCTCTCTCCCCCTCCCCCCTTTTTCCTCTCTCCCCCCTCTCTCTGTCTCGCTACCCTTCTTCTTCTTTTTTTTCCTTGATTGTTCTGCTTCTTCTTAAATATCAGATAGATTACATTAAATTTATGAGATTAAATCATTAAATTTCATTGTTCCTACTTTCAGTTTTGCGTCATACTAGCCGCGATACCAATCTTTCAGAGCTGTGTTATCAGCTATTTCGTCACAAATTCAACCACAAGTTATAAGACAACGATGAACGATGCGGTGATCTACATAAGCTCCTTGACTATACTTCTTTTTATCTCCACTCTAATAATTCATCATGCGCTAGCGACTTCGCAACAGATCGGCATGAGAATACGCATCTCTTGTAGCTCTCTCATCTACAAGAAGGTAATGTTGATGAAGTTAAATATTTATCTTTAAATATTTAAAGTTTTTAATATATATATGTGTGTCTTTACATATATGAAACTAGAAAGATAATCAGTAGTAAACCATCCATGAGATTTTCGTTGAAGTTTCGCAATATTATTTGCTAACTTATATATGACATTTATTTAGGAAAAAGAGCATAGAAAAATCTCTACCGAACCAAATGTTGTTCATTTAATGTATTATAGGTTTTTCTTAAATTATGTTGTATTAAAACTTTTATCATTTTTAAAACTGTTGCAGTTATTACGATTAAACAAAGCATCTATGAACGAAATTGATATTGGACAGATTATGAATCTTCTAGGCAATGACGTTAATTGCTTGGATCTGTTAATGCGGTTCCTACATTTCATATGGATCATGCCTATTCAGGTAATTCTTCATTTTGTGAAAATATTCGCATGCATTCCCAAAATCGTTTAAATTAACTTATATTTTCTTAGATTGGTGACATGTATATCATTTCATGGTTATAATCCAGTTCGTAGAAAGTACATCCATATGTATTTGTGTGCATCCACGTATCTTATAACTCCATTAATTGCAGACTGTGAAGATATAGGATCTTCTCCTTTTTTCTTACCTTTGTATTGTTGTTTAACTATCTGTCTTTAACTATGTGTCGAGTTTGGCTAAGTTTTCTATTGTAGGTCGTGATCATAACAAGTTTAATGTGGCAAAGGATGGGTATTTCGACTCTTGTCGGCATAGGGTCGCAACTGACCATCGCCCTAATTGTGCAAGGCATCTTCAGCTGGATAAATTACAAAATCAAAGTCAAAATCATGTTATTGACCGACCGAAGAGTGCAGCTAATAAGCGAACTCGTAGCCGGGATACAGGTATATTTTATAGGATGTTCTTAAGCGACCGATGATGAAAATAGACGCTAGCATACGAGTGTCAAATTTCAGTGCTGCATTCGAATGCTAAATGTCAAGGCAACAATTTTGAAACAAAGCAAAATCATAACTTTTCTTTCAGATAATGAAGATATACGTCTGGGAGAAACCATTCAGCAAGATCGTGTCGTCGACCAGAATGCTCGAAATTAAGAAGATTAAATTATCTTCGTACGTACGCGGCATATACCTCGCCGTCTCATTCTTGTCACAACGACTGGTCATCTACATCACCCTGATAACATTTGTCCTAATGGGAAACAATTTGACAGCATCACTGGCCTTTGAAGTATTCGTATACTTCAGTATACTTAAAGTTACAACTTCTACGTATTTTCCACAAGCGCTGATGACTCTGGGCCAATCGATAGTGTCTCTGAATCGCATAGAGGCAAGTCATGACATTACTTCAAATCTGCCATGAATCTTTAGATACATTGTTCCGTAATTTTTGAGTTTATTCTACTGCTTCTACGATTATTATAATGCGCTTAATTTGTATAGAAACTACTGCTGATGGACGAAGTTAACATGGGACACCCGGAGAAGACGCTGCAGTGTAAATCTCAGAAACTAAACAAAGTGACTAATATAAAGAATGAGACAGATAGATACATTTCAAAAGATAAAAATGTCGCGCCTTCCGAGCCTCAGGAATTATCTGATCTTCCGGTTTGCGTAAAGCTTCATCGCGTTTATGCCAATTGGATCAGCAGCAAATTGCCGCCAACTTTGTGCAATATCAATATGACGATCATGCCGGGTCAGTTATGCGCTGTGGTCGGCGCCGTAGGCTCCGGCAAATCATCCGTGCTGTACTTACTGCTGAACGAGTTGGATCTCAGCGCTGGTGCTGTGATCCTCACTCAAGACTCTTCGAGGAATAGCTTTCGGGATAAGATGTCCAACGGTTATTTTAAGAGCAATCCGAATCTGCGCATTTCTTATGCGAGCCAGGATCCTTGGATCTTCAATGGTACAGTGCGAGACAACATACTGTTTGGCCAGCCTTACAATAAAGTCAGATATACTCAGGTATTTAAGATAGTTATTGTATATATCCTACAGTATTCAGATATCCCCGATATTGCATGTCAATATTAAAATTTCTATGTATCTTTACACAATTTTCAAATTCTTTAGTCACTCGACATTAGACGCAAATCGTCATTGAGTTACTACCAACTGAAAAAGATATGCTTTATCGTATTGCAAATTTTACCGAATACCTTATCTTTACACAATTTCACATAAATAAAAGAAGTAAGTCTAATATTTCTTAAATTCGAACTGTCTACTCTCGAAATTTTTGGAGTGAGATGTCACTCGAAGAAATAATGAAAATACTGTCTGTTCGACTGAAGTGCAATTTCACTTTTTAAAAGAGTGCCGTTATTCACTCTTTAAATGGATTGATTCTTCAACTCTGAAAAGAGTGCTATGTTTTACTTTAGTTGATTATTGTTAGCAGTATAAAATTCAAGAAGGAGAGCTTCGCTATTGTTTGTTCATGGTTATCGCATAAAGAGGCTGTATTCTGATATTTCTAATATTCACAAGCAATACTGAAAACCTATACTTTATGTGACACTTTCGCTTATCCTACTGAATGTCGCGGAAGAACGATCCCAGCCCGTGACAGGGTCCCTTACCATATATGCCGAACTATCGTGATATTACTTACGAGTTCGGCGGCCATCTAGTGGCAGAATATCGTACTTTAAGTGAATTTTGGAGTGCTAACTTCACTTTAAAAATAAGAGTAAAATTCTTCAGTTTTGCCTTAGAGTGAAACAATTCATACTAAATTATTTTACTTTAAGACAAAAACTGAAGAATTTCACTCTTATTATACATATATAGTAAATAAGTAAAATATTCACTCGAATAGAGTGAAGTGGTCAGTGACATTTGCATTTGACTAACAAACGTTTTAGGTGACGAAGGTGTGCGCCTTGACAAAGGATTTCCAGCAGTTTCCACAAAGAGACATGGCGATGGTTGGCGACAGAGGTATATCCCTGTCCGGAGGCCAAAGAGCGCGAGTCAATCTCGCGAGGGCGGTTTACAGGCAAGCGGATTTGTATCTGTTCGACGATCCGCTTAGCGCGGTGGATTCTCGGGTCTCCCGGCATCTTTACCGGAAGTGCATCACTGAGTATCTCCGAGGTAAAACGAGGATACTTGTTACCCATCAGTTGCAATTTCTGAAACGCACGGATCACATCGTCGTCTTGGATCAAGTAAATATCGCATAGAATATCTTTTTATCGATACTTTAATTTTAATGGATTCACTAAGCTATTTATTGGCCACCACCTTGCCTAGGTCCTAATTCAATGGGCGTTTAAATTTCAATTTGCTTTAATTTTTATTTTATTAATTTTGTGTTTCAAACAACTTTGAATCCATTTCTATTAGTAAGCGCGCTTGCGCGTGTCGTGTGTATCTAAATAAATCCCCTAAAACCGTTTTTCAAGGGATGTGTAAAGATGCAAGGAAGTTACAACACATTGGTACAATCAAATATAGATTTCGTTAAGATGTTGGACAATTTGAGTCATGAAGCGCAGAAGAAGGAAGAACAGACAAGCTCGGAATCATCGGCAAAAAAAATCTCGATAACGAGACGTGCCTCAGGATTATCAACCACAAGTTCCATCATTGTAAGATGATCATTATCGATCGTGTTTTTTAAATTAAAAGGCATATAGACCATCTAAATTACTAACAATTTTTCGAAAACGTTATTTGTACAGTATGTTCATTGCTAGCTGCACTTGCTAATCAACAACTAATGAAGCAACGTAAAATAATTCTCAGAGTGTACTATAACGAGAAAACTTAAGTGGATTTTAAGCATCTATTAGTTTTTTAAATATATTATATGCTTAATATTCTTTATGATCTCAGTGAGACTAGCTTCCTCAGGCTTCATTGCGAAAGCCAATCAATTAATTAGATTGTTAATGACATCGTTCAATAGTCCGATATAGATGATTCGGATCATGTGGAGACCAATCAGGAGGAAGCCGAAACGATGACACGCGGTCGAATATCCGGTAGGACGTATAAGGAATATCTGCATAACGGCGGCAACTATTTCACCCTGTTCATGTTGCTGCTAGCCTTCCTCCTCGGTCAGATTTTCACCAGCGGGACTGATTACTGGGTCTCATTTTGGGTCACTTTGGAGGATGCCAGGCGTATCGGAAACACCAGTGACATGAAACAGTCCGGAAATATTTACAACAACAGTTTCCTTGAGTTGATCTTCACACTGGACCCAGATGGTCTGCTTAGTACTGTGGATGCCATATACATATACACCTTCTGCATCACCGTCTGCATTGTTATCGTGATGTTCTGCAACATCCACTTTACGAGAACGTGTACGAAGTCGAGCTGCACCATGCACAACACCATGTTCTCTAATCTACTGCAGGCACGCATGTCTTTCTTTCACAATAATCCTTCCGGTGAGCAACAATTGCGAAATCCCGATATGTAAAAATATTGTCCCATCGATGAAAGAGTTTAAAGATGTAATGTAGCATTTGTAGATAAAACTGACCACTCTGGTTCTCCCATCTATGCAAGTGCTATCTATTAACATTACTTGCTTCTCGATGGCATTAATAATTTAGAAATTTAGATACAAGGAGAGTTTGTTTTATCAATAGGGCCACCGCCTATGAAATAATTGTTTCTATCATATAATGTCACCATTTGTACTGAACGTGTTGGTAGAAACTATTTTTTTCATATCCATTGTCCAATTTTATTATAATAATATAGGGTAAAGGCAGGCATTATGGCCAGGCAGGTAATATGGCCACAACGCCCGTATTAAATATTCTAAACATTGATAAACATCAATAATGTATAAAAACCCATTATTGTAGCTATTCTTGAAGTTTGGTAAAAAAAATCTCTCTATTTTGTTGTTATTTGTGGTTTGGTGCTTCATTGTTCTCCATAACCATCAAAATATACACGTCAAAGTGAGACATGGCACTTCCAACTAAGTAAGATTTTCAAATTAAAACAAAATAATTTTGGCTTTTCTCATTACACATTTCAAAACCTAAACCTTGGCTATATTTTTATAATAAATTTATCGTGCTTTGCCCATTATTGTG